TAAAAACAACTATCTATTACAAATATTACACTTTTATATCTGCAGTAATTTTCACCACAAAGAAATCAATGACAAAATGGTCTGCACACCTAACTCATAGCTTAGAGGCCTTTAAAAATCATTTCGAGTCAAATTTGACTCCTATTATTTAATGGTTTATAAACCAAGCTTACACCAGGCAAGACAGAAAGATATAGCACGAATATGGCAACGATTTACCTAAATATTCACAGCAATTTTCACGAACAAAGAAACTCAGAGAGAAAGTGAGTTGCGGACCTTGACCTTTGCCCTTTTGTTAGTCGCCAGACCCAGACAAAAACACAGCCTGTGTTTTGATTGCACCACAGTCTTCCCATCATCCCTTTCACCCACACGTTTCCTCCAACCAGGAAGAAGGTTACAAGTCGGTGTGGTATGTCTGGGTGTTTACAAAAGGTGGTCAAACTTCCCTGCTTACGTATACTGTATATTTACGAAAGGTGGACAAGATGTAACAATGCTGTATTGTGTGATGATATATCCAAGATCAGGGGTCAAAATACCGGGTGCATGTGCACCTTAGTGCGCCCAAATTTGGAGCTGTGCACTTAGTTTTTTTCAGTGGGTGCTTTTCGTAGGTTTATGTATGTAAAGATGTTAAATGTAGAGTAGCATACAGCATATTCTTAACATCTAAGTGTCAGAAAAATAATGAAATCATTTTCGAAATAATGAAATCACTTTCGAAATGAAAGATAAGTAGTTATTGCTGACATTCTAGTTATTATATTTTATGGTGCACCCAGTTTTTAAGGTTGGGTGCACCAGAGCACCTATTCCCAAAAATTAATTTTGAGGCCCTGCTGTACTGTGTGTTGATAGCCAAGATAAAATGTTACAACAGGGTTTGAAGTTGTACCAGTTGGTACCATAGCGTGTCATCACCTGTTTACAGGTGGAAATTCCAAACGTTTGTTGTGAGGTTCCCAAAATAGTAACTGACTGCACGGCATGCTTCTTAGGACGATGACTTGGCACTTTGCGGACATTGCCCTGACTGCCCTCGACCCTGTCAGTTGTGTCACAAAAGGGCTCAAATATCACAGAGTAGGGTAGAAGAAAGGACTGTGGTCTGTACCAAAATGTTGGCAATGGTTTTATACATTTTTGGGGAGAGGGGATAATAAAATGGGTATGGGAAAATGTGTACTTTTCAGTAGATATAATGTTTAGTTTTTGTCTTCACAGATATCACAGACTTAGTAAGATAAGATAGAAGAAAGGATTGTGGTCTGTACTGAAATATTCGCGTTGGCTTTATTGGGGCTTTTTTTTTGGGGGGGGAGGATATGAAAAGGTGATTTCTTTCACCATCTGATCAAATACAGTTAATACAAAAGAACAAAGAAGAAAGCAGAATTTCTTCCTGGATAAAAATGAGCTGAGAAAAAAAAAAATTTTGAGCTAGATTCTTTCACTTCAACTCCCCCCCTCAATTTCTATACCTTTGCAAATGACCAATTCTTTGTCTATTCAACATTATGGATTTTAACTTAGTGTAGTTTTAACTTAGTTTAACATCTAGCCCCTGGGTCCACTGGAAATGCCCCTGGTCCAAATACAGCCATGTGCAAACCAAAATAGAAAGCTATGTCTTTACAGGGATATCCCCATTCCCCATGCAACCTACATACCTGACTAGGGTAAACCAATTGTAGAACTTGCTAAATATTTCTGTGATTTCTTAATCCAACAAATATCTAGCACCAAACAATAAAGAGATGTTACATAACTAGAATAATTTTGGATGCAAATTTTGTAATCAGGGCTCTTTCCAAGCAATGAAGCAAGCTGCACCACCCTTTACCCAAAATCCTAGCACCTCTCTTAAAAATGTTCAAATCTAGACTTTTCTCTAAATATACTTTCATGAAAATTGACAGACTTTTTTTCGCAACATCAACCAATTACTACTGAATTAGGAAGCACCTCTCCCCTAAAAAATTCTTATAAATGCAAAAGAAGTTGAAAGAAATTTCTTAACTCGTAATAAGTAACCATACATTTTTAGTCAGTTTCTAAGGAAAACACAATGGCATTCCGAGAGCTAGCCTTTATGCAAATGTGCAGCTGTAGGTATACTTGTTATGTTTGACCCCACCTCAGGGCTATGAGTCACGAGCGCCTGGCTAAATCAAACATGGACGACATACCACACTGTACCACACACTACAACACTCTTGTCTCACGCAAAAATATACCTAAGGAAAAAGAAAATATCAGGACATCATGAAACAAAGCAAAAACCTCTGGACATGAACAGAAATTTAAGAAAAAAATACCTTGCCAAACTTCTATGTTTTCTCACTAACCATAGCCAGAGAAGACCACTAAAACATACCACACTGTACCACATACTGGCACACTCTTACACTGTCTGCAGCAAAACTACAACTAGGTAAAAAAACATAAAAAATCAGATCATGGATCAAAATAAAATCTTCTGACCAAGACCACAGATAGGGGAAAAAAACCTTGCTAATCTACTATAATCTCACTAAACATTGCCAAACAAAGAAGACCACTAAAACAGGTTTTGGCTACATTTTCAAGAAACCTACACCTAGGTAAAAGAAAATATCAAAATTCATGAAACAAAGCAAAAACTTCTGGCAAAGAACACAAATAGGGAAAAAACAACCTTGCCTTACAGTAAACAGAGAATACCACTAACAGGTCTTGGCTAGATTCTAGAGACTGATATTCTGAAGCGTTTATGATTCAACTCATTACAAACAATAACATTTATTATGCCTACAACCTACTTTATAAATCCTGGTGGTGTATTTTACAACTGATCCAGGCTTAGTATGTAAATGAAATAAAATAGAAGGGCAATCCTTTTGACAATACAGTTCGAGGGCCTGAATAACAAAAAGTGATCCAAGGTTTAAAACAATCATATTCCTTTGAGACAGTGAGATCCATCCTCCATTCATTCAAACCCAGCTGCCACACGACCAGCCCTTTGTTTGTGTTTATCGCTGTTCCCGAGAGAAAGCGTTTGTCATCTGCAAAAATGGCGTCCAACAAAGAACAAAACGGTACCTGCAAACACCTGTGCTAGCCTTAAGGTTATAGGTCAACCTGTCTGACTACAGATAATACACAAAGGGGTTTGAACACAAAGAGGAACGATTTAGACAAAATCATTATTTCACCAATCTGTTGATGTTCATGGTTTCAGTTCTGCTATACCTATGTCCTTGCTACTACGCAATTGTAAGGGAATTTTTGCTGTTTAGCCTAACAAGTAAAAGTCCAAATATAGTACCGTCTGGTGTTTAAAGGGCAACATGCTTACTGTCACAGGTAATAACTCATGTTAATGTAAAGGGGTTCTGGGCAAACTGGATTAAAGCATCCTGGCCCAAATGAGGTCACCCTGTGACTGACTTCCTGAAAAATGAAATAAATGAACAAAAAAAGCGGCAGGACGCCTACGCATTTCGTGTCTGGCCTAGAATGATAACAACTGAATAAATACATATAGAAAACCGTTCATACCTCCACAAGTTTGTATATGCGTATGGCCAGTAGTGTTACGGTATAGTAATTATGGCCTGGCACGCATATTTTTCATTGATGAATTCTAATCGTAATATCATTAGAGATGATGAACACATGTGACTTTCCCATAGGATTGGGGGGGGGGGGCAAGATACTACTAAAAAAAGTAAAGGTGGTCTGGTCCTGTTACTGTTTCCTGGTTGAGGTAAACCAAATCAACCGAACCGTAAGCAAAAACAACCAAAGATCCTGTAGCCTTGAAAAATGTAAATTTACATGTAGTCTTAGCGAATAAACAACCAATCCTTGGGCATGTGTGTGTAAGCAAAAAACAACAGAATATCCTGAAGCACCCGAAAAATGTAAATTTCCAAGTAGTCCTAGCTAGTTGTGTACTGGAACTACCGGTTTTTCAACCAGGAAGAAACTCATAAAATTCAAATCTACAATGTTATCTCGATCTATGATAATTGTTGTACTAAATCTTAGACATATTTTCATAGATAATTTTTAGCCAGTTGGTATAATTTCATTGTCTCAAACAATACTGAATACCTGCTACACAAGATTTTTCAGTTGTACTACATTTTTTAGGCCCTCAATATATCATAAGATATTGGTTTATGCAGAAATCTTAAATTTCTGACACATAGAACGTGAGATTTCAACTGTATCCAATTCATGTACAGAAATGGAATACTGTCAGTAAGTAACAAATTATTACAGAAATTATGTATTGAAACAAAATCTAACTGCTTGATTTTATCAACAAAGGGATAACATCATTCTAAAATATTTCTAACACAGCAAAGTCTTTATTTTCACAGAAATCGTCCCAAGAAAAATGCAAGAGTTTGACAGAATTATGGGGGACATTCTGTCGGATTTGGGTAAAAAAGGCAAGGTCAGACTCCTTTCAACAGTGGCAATTTGCCTAACAATATGGAGCTCTGAAAAGGGTTGTCTGGTGACCCCTTGCTTCAGGTGACTCCAAACAAACGAAGACAACAATTCCTGACTCAAACCTGTCTTCCCGGGGATAGTTTAGGTGACGATTTTGAGGGAGAGGTGAAAATTTGGGGTATTTTTTCTCATGTGGGTGAAACAGTGAGTACGTGCGCGGCCATCTTGTCACATGGCCGGTTTGCCGGTGGTTCAGTATAGAGGAAACGTGTCACTTTAACGTGACGCAACACGAGCGCAGTCAACAAAACTTCGGCTTGTACTCGCACACACACAACTTCACAACTTTCACAACACAGGCCATGACAACCGTGAACCTAGCAGCTCACACATTCCGCTACGTAGGCAAAAACAGACGAGAACTCGCGAAAGACCCAACCCATATTTTTTCGGGCCTCTCTCTCCGTAGGCCGGTATGGCTGAAACTACCCAACCCCACCTACCCCTTCCCCCGTTACTCACGAGTTTTTGTAGGACAAGGATACGTTCTGGAATTAGGTCCTCCGCTCTGTGCTTGTACTTGTATCTGTTGAGGGCCTGGAGACACAGTTGAGTTCTTCCCTTGCTTTAAACTCATTGCAAAACGTCCAGATCACGATGAATGGTTGACCAAGATCGCATGGAAGTCCTTCTACGAAGGACCCCTATAGGCTTGTCTCCTATTAGGGGAATCTCCTGTGGAACACAAAAATACCCACACATTTAGAAAGATCAATTCTTCCTCTATCTAAAAATGTACTCACTTCTGATATAAAGGATGTATTTTGGGCTAGATGGCAACGATCTCGAGAGCAACATATCAATATGGCGTACCTTCTTGCGATAGCCCGCAAGGAGACAATCGGCAATTTCCGGAAAGTTTCGGCTCGAATCGGATGATGTCATGGATACATAATGAGCCCTCGATCGTTTGATTCGAACTAAAAATATAATCTCGACTATTTTTTCATAATTTTATACCCCACTTCATACAAAATATCGTACGTATCATGAATTTGAAATAATTTTTTGGTTGCCAAGTAAAAGTTGTGACCTCTGACCTGCACGTTGCAAATATTGTCATGTGACAGTCAGTCATGGCGGACGTCGATCACAACTGAAGAGGAAAGACCTTCAAAGTCACGAGATTTTTATGCTTTTAATTGTAAAATATATGATCAATAATGTTTTGACAACTACAGAAGAGTTGATCTTTCAGTGGAAACCGTCGGCGTTCTTTGTCAGGTAAGTAAAGTGGAGTTTTTCCTTCCATAAAGTCGGTGTTGTCAACGATTTTTCAGTTCCTCAAAATATTTTGGAACTTCCGGACGGAAAAATATATAAGAGGCGGAGTGAGTTTATGAAGAATGTCATAATTTAGGTAATTTTCTTAAAACATAGTCGATATTTTCTCAGAAATCTGAATGACATGAAGCCTAATTTGTATTCAATGTCATAATAAATTTTGATGGACGGAAAGAAATTATCAAGAAAATTTTATTTTTGCTCTTCTTTCTTAGCTTGATAAAATGAGGTCACAGTTTCAGTTTCACAGTTTGACGGCCTTTGACTTAATTTCAAGAAGTATAGTTGTTGATATCAAAGTACTTTTGTAAGTGGCTGCTTATCAAGGACCTTCTGTAACCAATTAAGTATTCATGAATAATTATGCAGGCATGTGAATTTTCTATCTTCCTTATCTCAAAATTGCAATTTACCAGGGGTAGTCTGAGAAGGGCTTCACCAATTTGATTATTTGTTTAATGTCTACCAATGGTATACATGTGGTCAGGTTGTTACTACAGAAAGAATTATTACTTATGTCATTGAATATATTACCTTGGGGACCACTAAAAGGTGGTCAGTTGCATTGGTAGATGTCGGTTTTTTAAAACCTACCCTGGCCAAGCACTTTTTCTTGGACCAAAAATTCTGGTGAACAACTTATTGAATTTCTTTAGCCGTATTTCCATATTCATGATATTGTTATTTTTTCTTCCTTTATCCAGGAAGGTGGGCAAGTCTCCTGGAGTTAAGACAAACAAACAAACTGGATCAACCAGGCTGAAGAAGTTGTCTTGAACTTTCTCAGTTTCTGTAGCTCCAAGTGTCAAGTGCCACGTGAAATCGTGACTCGTGCAAAAGATCTACCTTTATCATAAAATTATTGAGAAATCTCTGTAGCTCCAAGGAGATTTCAGTGGAACACTATAACCTCCTAGGTAGCTGCAAGTGTCGTGCCACATAAAATTGTGACTTGTGCAAGAAATATACCTTTATCATAAAATTTAGAAATCTCTGTAGCTCCAGTGTTGTGCTACATTCAAGCGTCACCAACTGACTAGTCCAAATTTGTGCAAAAAATCTAACTTTACTATAAGAAAACATTATGCACTACCTCCAACTTCACTACAATGACTCCCACCCATGGAGCGCCTACCCTACGATGGACCCAGACTATCCCGTGAACTGTTCGGAACACGGTGGGGTGGAGTGGATCTGGCACACGTTTAAACAGTGCGTGGTCGGGCCTAAAGAGTACACGGGATTCATCTTAGGTCTGGTGTCTATACTCTGCTGGATTGTCGTCAGTCTACCGTAAGTATGGGGCAACTTTGTCAAAAAAGTTACTTGAAAGCAACTGGATGTGATTTTGGAAATGGTCAGACGTTTCAGGTAGCATCCGCTACCTTTTGTCAGACCATTTCCAGAATTATATCCAGTTGCTTGAGTAACTGTTTTTTTGGTGTATCTTATTACCTGGATGTCTAACCTTCACCGACATAAACTTTGTCATTGTTTTTGTTGTTATTGTTCAATGTAGATTTGTTGATATGTGTTCTCTATGTTAATTAAGTAGAGTAGAGTAGAGTAGATCTTCGGTCATGTAGGATTTTCTTCTCCAGTTTAGACCGCTCCTCATACAGTTGTCATTGTTGGCTTGTGTGGATGGTCCAGTGCCTTGTAGCTGTACTTCACTGGGTGATGTTCCATGTACTTGTCAAATCTTATCTTGAAAGCTGTAACTGTTGGCGCACTGACAACTTCTTCAGGTAACTCGTTCCACCATGGGACTATCCTATTACTAAAGAATAGTAGTCTTTTGTTTGTCTTCGTTGCAATCCTTTTAAGCCGTAAGTTGTGGCCTCTAGTTCTTGTCTCCCTATGTCTATCAGGTATGCACGGTGTTGTGTCGTATAAACCATGTACAAACTTAAAGGTGTTAATGAGGTCTCCCCGTAACCTCCTGTACAGCAGGGTTGGTAACTTCAGGACTCTCAGCCTCTCTTCATATGGTAGATGTTGTATGCCCGGGACTCTTTTTGTTGCTCGTCTTTGTACCTGTTCGACGAGTTCTGCTAGTTTCCAGGTACCCGGTGACCATGTAGACACCCCGTACTCAAGATGAGGTCTGATCAGCGCCTTATATAACATGGTAAATACATCTTTGTCCACATGTTCGAAGGTACGCCAGAGTAGACCTGTCATTCTGGTTGCCTTAGAAACAGAAGATGTGACATGTTTGTCGAATAACAACTCATGGTCCACAATTATTCCCAGATCTTTCTCCTGTTTTGTGAATTGTAGGTCCACTGTGTCTGAGTGATGGTTGTCTCTCATGGTGTACTTGTGGTTGGGATGATTTTTTCCAATTCCTCATTGCAGTACATTTCTGGGGATGGAACTTAAGTTGCCAGGTGCTGGCCCAGTCCTGTAGCTTGTCCAGATCGTTTTGAAGTTCCTGACAGTCCTGACTTTTACCCACACTACGATACAGTTTGGTGTCGTCTGCGAAGAGTTTCAGCGTGCTGTCGACTACCTCCGGCATGTCGTTTACATATAATGTAAACAAAACTGGTCCCAGTACACTGCCCTGGTGTATCTTTTCTTTGTCTGTTAGAATTTTAGTACTTCTGGTTCAGCAAAATCATCATTCAGATTGTAATTGCTTGATTAGTTGGCACCTAAGTGGTGTTAATCCATGATAATGAGCTTAAGTAATTAACTACACAAGAGTTGCCAGCTTGGGTAAAGCAAGATCAAGAGTTGTCTAATAATAGATATTTCTTTTTATTACTGTGACCTGCAGCCTATGTGAAAAGGAGGTGTTTTACTTTTTTTTTTTAGAGAAGGGCCATTTGTAACAAAAAATTTGGGAACTGGAAAAACATCAAACATCATGACTTTGCCTTCCAACATCTGCTTGAATAGCTCTGACCAGTCACATGGCTGTCATGTGTAGGTCATGAGTCGTGACCTACTTTCTGATGTCATGACCTTTGTGACCAGTTGGAAAATGAATAACAAACGGACCTTTATGAAATACATGTTGCATATATAATATTAGATTCTTAACATACATAAACATATTTTCTTTTTTTTTAAACCTCTATCAGTTAATTACAGACAAAAGTGGCCAAGAAGACCATTCAGGACAGAGAAATTATGGTAGATTTGTGGACAGGACTGGTAAAATTTGGTCCATGTGCACAGGTGGTCACTGAAGATAGGATTGTGTCAATGAGAAAAATTATTTATGGGACCACAAAAAAGATGGCGACAGTTGATCACTTGTACAGGTTTGTACATAGTATGTAACTTCATACATATTAGAAAACACTTTTAAAATTCAAGACTCAAGTTGATGGCAAAAATATGTTCCTGTATCTAGGCCAACAATGTTTGTACAAATGTACATGGTGATTGTTGATTACTGTATATCTGATATGGCCTGAAAAACAAGCATATGGGACCCATATGCTACGTATACTAGCACATACTAGCTGTCTTATACGTGTTTGCAGTTCAGATAAATCATATTTTTACTTGGAAGCTTCTCACATATTTATAAGGAAAATAATAATATTAGTTTCATGCCAGATTGTACTGATTTAACAAGCAAATTGGACTGAAATTCAGGTACTCAGTAATTTTTTTTTAGATCAACACTTTGCAACAATGCAATTTCTGTCTACTGCAGTAACTTGAAATGATTTAAAAAGATTTTGGGCCCCAAATGGCTTGTTGTGGTACTGCAGCAGTCTGTCATTCATTCCTATGTTGTTCCCATTCATTATTCCCCAGTCAGCTGTACAAGGGTTGGAAGAATGGAAACGCTGACACAGCACTGTCTTTGCCCTTCCTGCTGCTCTGGCTGTTCGGAGACACAGCAAACCTCGTGGGCTGTGTGCTCACTGGACAACTACCTATACAGGTGAGGTCTATCACACTCAGAACTGTGCCTATCTAGTTCTATGTCTGAATGGGTTAGGGTTAGGATCAGGCACGGTTCTGGATAGTCCCGGACTCCCTATCATATCCAGAACCGTGCCTATCTAGTTCTATGCCTGAATGGGTTAGGGTTAGGATCAGGCACGGTTCTGGATAGTCCCTATCATATCCAGAACCGTGCCTAGCTAGTTCTATACCTGAATGGGTTAGGGTTAGGATTAGACACGGTTCTGGATAGTCTCCGCGTATCCAAGAACATCAATTTGCCCCAGGCATGGTCCTGGATACTCTTGGACTATCCAGAACTTTGCCTGATGAGTATTAACACTTGTGTTTGATCCTATCTTATGAAGTGACAAGGTTTTGATAGTGTTGTCGACAGTTTTATATTGCTAATGCTTAGTTAACTTCTTGACTTTTTTGTTATTCTTCCTGAACAGTTGTACACTGCCATCTACTATGTGTTCATGGACTGCCTGATGATCACACAATGGTTCTACTGTTTACTGAAGAACAGGAGAAGAAGTAAGCCTTTGTTACCTCTCTGTTATGTTTTTGGTGTGTTTGTGTTTCCATCATGAGTTACTTCCACTTGATAGTAGAGCTGTGCAGGTACACGGGTTTAGATACAGGTCCAGACCTAAACCTGTACCTAAACAATTCAATCAATTAGCATGTTCTTCTGAACACCTTCTTACTGTTGGAGGACCACCTCATACAGTTGAAGATTCTGTCACCATGTACATTTTATATATGTCATACTCACCCAAGAAAACACGCCTTTAAATGCGAAATGAGCAAAAATTTGGTATCCCTAAACCAAAAAATGGGACAACATGAATTCCAACGTCCGAATTCTGTATTCAAATTTACGAAAGCGGAGCACGCGGTTAGGGCAAAATGCGTTCAAATCATTCTATGGAACATTTGGAAGCCCGGGCTGTGCCGTACCGCTAGTTATCACACGGGCCGGACAGCCGTATTGAACGTAATCGCGGCCCACGTATGACATAATGTGGGTTACTGCACAGGGGATTGGGGTGGTGTGTGATATAATCTCCGCTCTCTCCCTATCACACCATTGTTTTAACCATTTTCTCTTTTCTTTTTTCCCACAGACAGGAGTTTGAGGTTAACTGTTCCAGGGGGTGACGATGTGTCCATCAACGGCGCTGTCCTGTCCTGCTGTCTGCTGCTGTCACTCAACGGCCTCGTCTTCAGCATGTCTCCATGGCAACGGGACGTATCCATGGCAACCGTCAAGCACTCCTCGGGACGATCTCTTCTCAGCCATCCAATATTTCCTGTAAGTCTGGTCTTGTTAATATAGTTTCTTATTGTAAAAAATGTTCAGTAAAGTCTCTTCTATTCCTGATTCACATATAAGATGGCAAATACTTGAAACCTTCCGTCACATGAATTCATCCTAAGGTTGTATATGATTTAGGTTTGAAATATGCTTTGGCAGGTTCATGTAATTATTTTTACTAAGTTAATGTAATCAATTATCTTTTACAATCTTTCTTTCATCCATTTTTGCGATTCTAGAAGTGGGTAAGACATTTTCTCTCCTGATAAACCAGTATGTAGTAGATGTACATTTCTTATACATGTAGTTTTATTTTGTTGACTCAGGAAAAATTGTCTTTTTCCCCACAGGATGTGGAAAGTGATGTGGGCTACGCCATCGGTATTGTGTCTTCTGTGCTGTATCTCGGGTCTCGCATGCCGCAAATCTACAAAAATGTGAGTTCCTCATCAAACTTTGTGATTAACGTTAACACAAATATTGTCTTCTGAGCTGCAGTTTCCTGCAATTAACTTTATGGAAAATTAACCTTCTCCCTGCTTCCTAAACTCATAACTAACACATACATGTATTTGGTGCCAACGGTTAACAACTCACTTTGAACTGTTACAGTATACTGTATAGTTCAAACATACACTGCAGTTTTAAATTTCATTAGCAAGTTTTTCTTTTTATTCTTCTGGTTTTCTCTTCTGTGACTGGAGTCAGTCAAGGGAGGGGTTCCTCCATAGGAGTAACAGACGGTACTATGCAATGATGATGATGATTCTTCTCTGTGAGCTATTTACATTTTTTTCTACGTCTAAACATCATTTACATTTCCTCCCTACAGTGGAAGCGTAAGTCTACAGAAGGCCTGTCCATCTGGATGTTTAGTCTGGCTATCCTGGGTAACCTGCTGTACGGACTAAACATCCTGCTACAGGGAACACAAGTTATTATTATATTAACTAACCTGTTCTTGTTTCTCCCCTCCCACCAGTGGAAGCGTAAGTCTACAGAAGGCCTGTCCATTTGGATGTTTAGCCTGGCTATCCTGGGTAACCTGCTGTATGGACTAAACATCCTGCTGCAGGGAACACAGGGGTACTTCATCATCCGTCACCTGCCCTGGCTCATCGGCAGTCTGGGAACCATGACATTCGACTCTACTGTATCCTTACTTACACTCAAACAGTTAAAACATTCAGAACATGAAATATAAAGCTTAGTACAATGTATTATAGTCAGACTGATACTTTCCATCCTAAGTCTGGGCACCATGACATTCGACTCTACTGTATCCTTACTTACACTCAAACAGTTAAAACATTGAGTGGATGAAATATAAAGCTTAGTATTATAGTCACACTGGTATGTCACAGTAACTTCACTTTCCATTCTAGCTAAATTTTTGACCATCTCTGTCAAAATGTAGCAATGCAAAATAAAGTCATAAAAGTGCAAATATTTGACATGCAGTAACTTTCTAATTGATTGAACAACTAATTTCTATACTATCATTTCATGAACTGCTAATTGTGAGAATACATAGAATAAAACTGACATAATGGATGAAAATATTCATGTTTAGAAACTAGATGTATCTACAGTGTGTTATCCTTAACCGTTTCCCAGTTATTTCTCCAGTTCTTTGTTTATGGTGCTGAAGATGAAGAAAAGAATTCTGAAGACACGGACCCCATCCTTCAGTCTGCCGACGGGACTGTCTTAGTGTGACGTCAGTCGTCTTAGAGTCACCGTCAACAACTTGGAAGGAAGTTTAAAGTTAAAACTTTTGATCCAACACAAAGAAGTTGACTCTCACCAAGAGCTTTCGACCAGTCACTCTGGTCTTCCTCAGTAGACTGACCCAGTGAGGCTTGTCACATGGCTTCTTTGAAGTGTGACGTCAACACTGGGTCAGTCTACTGAGGAAGACCAGAGTGACTGGTTGAAAGCTCTAGGTGAGAGAACTTTATTGTGTTGGATCTAAAGTTTTAACTTTAAACATGTAACTACCAACTAGAAAGGAAATTCTTCAAAAGTCTAGACAAATCAGCCCACTAATAAATATCCACGATAGACCAATCTCATAGCCTAACATGTACATAGTTATAATCATAGATGTGAAAAATTATACAGAGGTGTATCTTCTCTTCTATTGGCTGAACTACTACACATGTAATTCTGTTGGAAAGCTGTGATTGGCCAAATTGTAAAGACATTCAAGTGTAGCTTCTCTTCTATTGGCTGAAAAGCTACACAGGTAATGGCAATGGAAAGCTGTAATTGGTCTAAATCTTTTTAATGGTGAAAAACATTATGTGGTGAGAGACCAGGGGTGACATTTTAAACACTGCAAAAACTTGCCGGCCTGCCAATGGCCCTGTATTTGTTTCTGAAAGCCGTTAAGTCCATAGCACAAGGTTAGTACCGGTCTAGAGTGAACTGTAGCAATATGACTGATGTCTACTGCTATGCTTTATTTTTAAAGACTTTTAGTTTCTTCTAAAGAGATGCATAGTATTCTATTACATGTGTTAAAGTGTCTATTTTGTTAAAAGTACAAGACTGAAACGCACATTACATGTATCTGTATCTGTATAGCCGGTATAACCGCCCTTCGGCGTAACACACCAGCTTCTGCATCTGTATAGCCGATATAACCGCCCTTCGGCGTAACACACCACACGCACACAACATGTAGGTAAGTAGGTACTATAGGGATCTTTAGTTCAGTTTGGTTGAATCTTGTATAAATGTAATTGTGCTAACCGAAATTGGTGGAAAATTTGTTGCTTTAAAAATAGCAAACAATGCTTGATGGCCTAAAATCATTAGATTGTCAACAAAATTACTTGTAGATGTGTTAGCTTTCTAAATATGTGAAATAATATTCATATATTTATTCCCATATCAGCATTATTCTTTGCATACATGACATTGTGCAATGTTTCATTGAAGAGCTTACCAAATATTTTTATGTTTGGTAAATTGATGTTGTGCCACTGTATTGAATAGGTTTAAATGTTATTTTGAAGTTACATTTAAAGTACTGGTAGTTGGGAATTTCAAAATTTAGAAGGACCAAAAGCAGACAACACAAGCATGACCAAAGTTGCAAGCATGACGTTGTAACGTTAAAAAATAAAACTATCATATTATTAAGTTAAGATTATGTGCTAAATGGTAATAGCCCTAAAAGAGTAATGGGCAATACATATTGTATTATAACAGGATGCTTCCAATTGCTAGTAATGTACATGCTGTAATTTAGTGGTAGAAAAACTAGTGCCTCAAAACCGGTTTGTGGAAGAATAGCATAATTGCGCTTTTAGAACCCCTTGAAACAGATTGTTTGTATACTGTTGATTATTTCTACATTTAGGGAACATCAGGAAACAACTGTAGATAGCTGGGAGCTAGGATGTTAACATGAGACAGTTCAAACATATCTTGAATACAGAAAATGGTCAAGGATAGGTTCTCTTTCTACTAGTATAGATATTCTAGCCTATCTTTATTGACCATGAAATATTGCCATTGTGAATGTACTTGACAGCAATATAGACCTTACAGGGAAAATATTGTGAGAATATATATAGAATGTACTAAGATTGCTCTGTATAGGACAGAAAGAAGAAGAAACTTTTGAATTACACCAGATTTGGGTTGACACATTCAAGCCATTCCCATGTAATGGAACACCAGTACAGAACTCTCAAAAATATACAAGTACTCAATGGGAAAAGTCAATGTGGCATGTTTATTTTTTTAAACTTAAAATGAACCTTTCTTTACATCACTACAGGTCCATCCCTTGAAGAGCACTGAGTCTTGTATGCTCTTTAGCAAAATTGCAAGCAGGCTTTAAAAATGTTTGCCCAACTTTGCGAGAGACTTTTCAACCCTGCCCCTACTTCCACTTCTGTGTAGATGTAAATGACCTTGAATTTGATAACAAGCCAACTTGCTGTTCCAAAGTTTGCAAGGATTAGAATTTCCTTAGTTCAGATTGGATGTAGAAGACCTTGAATTTCATGGCAAGCCCACTTGTTTCCATTTGGAAAACAAAATTGTAATTTTTGGGTTCAGCTTTGCGAGAAAGGCTTGGCCCTCCCCTACTTCAGAGTAGATATTAAGGACCTTGAAGTTGATGGCAACCCAACTTGTTTCGGTTTAGTAATTTTACGATTTCTTTACTTCAGAGTAGATGTAAAGAACCTTCATTTTAATGCCATTAGCAAATTTCTTGGTTCTGTTTAGCAAACTTTTGAAAGTTTTCATCCAATTTTGCAATGAAGAGTTTCCAGCCTTCCCCCTACTTCATAGTGGCTACAAATGACTTTGAAGTGAAAGGCAGGCCAGCCTGTTGTTTCCGTTTGGCCTCTCGCTTGACCCTCCTGTTTTCCTCCATCTTCCTGTCCACACACCTGATGATGCAGAGTAAGATGATGCCCAGGAGCAGGAGCACCGTACCACCCAGGATGATGGGAAGCTCGTACTTCGCTAGCCTAGTGTTCTTGAGCAGCTTCTTATCTTCCTCTAGGAGTTCTGGAAGAGACATGAAGATTGTCATTTGTCTCTGTATGTAACTTTGTAAGGGCATGATTATGTGTGAGCAAGTGTGTGTGTAGGCATGTATGCAGTGTTCAGCACCAAGGACATGGATGCTTGGTGTGTAGGTGTGGGTGTTTGGGTGAGTGGGTGGTGTTAAGCACCAAGGACAGGGCTACTTACTGTGTGTGTGTGTGTGTGTGTGTCTGTATGTACTTGCATATGCATGTGTGGTGTTCAGCACCAAGGACAGGGCTGCTTGCTGTATACATGTGTATGGGTATATACATGCTGTTAGATAAAAAAAAAGGTGTCAAAATATGTACCTTTCACCTCCTTCTTCAGGTATTTGAACATCCTTTTCTGCTCACAGAAGGTTCCTTTACACGGCACCTCAGTAGTGACAGGTTGGGGTGGTGGAGTGGTCACAACTACTGCAACACATACAAGTCTTAAGATTATTTGGTAATTGTTATAACAAAGCTGTGTTGTAACATCACCCATGTTTGGTTTGCACAAAAGATAGTATGATTAATCTTTAGTATATGTTACAAAAGAAAAACAAGCTACACAAGAAAACTGTTACTCAAGCAACTGGGTAACAAAGAAACAAGCTGTAGTGCAATATTGTTCAGGAAAAGTTGGACACGTGCATTGTGTAAACTAGACATTCAAAACCTTTCAAACCTTAGTTTCTTCATGTTACATTTTTTATCAGCGTAAATTAACGTTTCTTCCTCCATCAACGCATTTTGCTGGAGATCCCGAAACTTGTAGTCTCCAAGATCCAAGTGAGACCTGCAGTCTTACCGCAATGCGCCAGGTGGCACTTCTGCTGCGACAGTTCGGACGTTCCGTGGCACTTCCCTCTGGAGCACCTCCGGATCCGGAAGGCTACCCTGTGCCCTGGAAGATTAGCCTTTGGGGCATCGAAATAAACAGAAAAAGAGAAATAGAACTGCAGTTCTACCACAATTCTCCAGGTGGCACTTTTGCTGCGACAGTTCGGACGTTCCGTGGCACTTCCCTCCGGAACACGTCCGGATCCGGAAGGCTACCCTGTGCCCTGGAAGATTAGCCTTTTGGGCTAAAGGGCATCGAAAGAAAGAGAAAGAGACATGCAATCTTACCGCAATCCGCCAGGTGGCACTTTTGCTGCGACAGTTCGGACGTTCCGTGGCACTTCCCTCCGGAACACGTCCGGATCCGGACAGCCGTTCCGGAGCCGCAGGTCTTGGAGCATGCGCCCCACGAGCCCCACGTGCTCCACTCCTGATCCTCGGAGTCTGCGCCCAGTTCCTTCTCCTTGTAGTGGTCCACGTACGCTGGGGATAGAGAAAAAGATCAATAGACCGATTCTGACTACTGTCCATCACAATTAGCGGTTTTACCTATGATAACATATTTATGTTAGCATAATGATTACCAGTTCCACCGCCAATGGTACAGTTTATCTTTTTATTTTACATTTCTACGTTTTTGACGGGGATTGGTGGAATACTAGACCAGATTTTTTTAACTTGGAGACCAGGGCTGAACGATAAAAATATGGGATTACATATACCAAGGAGCTTAAATCTCCTTGCATATACATTCCAAACTAGTGAGCAAAAGAAAAAATGCATTTGTACGTTTTGACGGAGGCATACAAGATTATGTAAGAGGTCTATTACGTAACGTTATATCTAACACTACAAAAAAATGCATAAAAACAAGCTGGTGCCAACATCTGCTCACACTCTCACGCAGAGCACTCGTGGCAGTATTGCTCTACGTGTAAAAATGACGTTGACACCTGCTTGGGTATCGCTACGTATCAGGTGGGGATGTAGCTCAGAGGTAGAGCGCTCGCTTCGCATGTGAGAGGCCCCGGGTTCAATCCCCGGCATCTCCAGACTTTCTTTTGGTCATCGTCTTAAAGGACACCTACCTCACCTTTCTTTAGCACAAGGAGATTTAAGTGGAGAACTCCTTGTTTAGCGTTTGTATGCTTCTTTTGTAGTGGCGCCCTTTTCCCCTTCACTTAATGTAATATATAGTGCTTTGAGATAATAATTCAAATACATTTTCAATCGCGACCTGAATGCTTTCGTTCGTCTTTTCGCAGAACACTATTTTCCCAACCGCGAATTTTCATTTCATTACTTTTTAGCAGTTATATCATGCTTCATCTCTGGTGAGGATGGCTAACAACACAACAACATTTCTCACAACTTACTTTTCATCTTCGTCAGGAGTGCTTCCAGGTTCTGGTGGTCACGTGATTCTTGCGTCACTGATGACGTCAGCCCCTGATGCGTGCCTTCTAGTCCAGCTCCTCTCTTCAAAGTCTTCCTTCTGTGATAATAGTTTGAATTCTCGCGCCATGTCGGTGTTGATTTTGCATAACTTGCTGCTCTGTTGTTTCTACCGAGACTGTTGAAGTTATGATTCCTGCTTTCCGTTGTGGTAGTACCTTTGGCCTCCGACTCCCACGGTCCAGGGCACGCCCTCTGGCGGCAGGGCGCGCTCTGCAGGACCCCCTGGCGGAGTTGGGGCGCACTGCACTCCGAGCCGTGACACGGCCGGGCCCGAGTCCGCACGCCTTCGCCGCACGTTTGGGAACATGCAGACCAGGAGGTCCATTTTCTCAACCCGGTTCCTGGGAAATAAATGTGTAAAGTTAGTCTCCAAGCAGATCTGTACCAGTATATTATAAACCATCCCTCGGCATAACACACCAGCTTCGCAGGCAAGCGGCTCGGCGGCAGCTTGCTACTAGTATATTACACCGAACGACTTGTTACACCTATAGCTAGCCTTGGAACATCTAATAACTCTATGCTTTTTATATCTTAATGTTATCTACTGATGATATCCCTACTGTACGTTGTGGCAGCGAGTTCCACTCTACGACAGTTTTAAGGGAAAACAGGTTTTGAACAGATGTGCCTTATATGTTGATGTTTCGAGCTAATGGTAAATCATATACGTTTATGGTCGTGACATAATAGAAGAAAATAGAAAAAGAAGATCAGTAGCAGTATAACTTGATGTAAGCATGAAACAAGGTAACTAAACGATGCCAAACCGGGCACTGAAAAAAAAAAAGAATCGAGAAAAGACCATACCTTCTGTTGCGATGACATATCCGCAGTTGATCTGTAAAACCACCAGCAACACGACCACGATAGTTTTTAGGTAAAGTTTCATAGTCACTGCGTTACACACGAACGTCCATTCTGTTGTCATCATCTCACGCGCGGCCTCTAGCGGTAGTCAAGGGAACAGCAGGCGTTCTGGAACCGCATTCGGTTGATGGCGTTCTATTATGACTTTTCAAACGGCTGTGGCGTAACAAAGCTAAAATACGGTACATCCACTCACATAAAGACAACGAAAACGGAAGATTGGCCTCGTAGGAAGTTTTGCCGTTCGTACCGTGAATGTTAAAACTTACCGACAAGACCCGCGTTGCTAAAATTTCGTCACTTCCAAACTACTTGGCTAGCCTACGGGGACGCCTCATTCCAGAACCGTTTATCGAACAGAATGCTTCCATGGCGTAACCTAGCAACGACTTGCTTGTCATAGCAACGCCATTTCTCGCCTGAAATCGCCTGATACGACTGTTACGGCAGCGACAAATGGGGAAAAACTGACGGAAGATGCACTTTTTGACGCCGGCGCACATTTTACTAATCTCGGTCGGTTTATCGGTGAGCCAAAAGAACGGTAAGACCGTTGAATTACTTTTTTGCTAACGTTACGGGGTTTGTTTTTGTTTGGGTGTTGTAGAACAAGGCATGTCGGGACGGCTGCAGCTGTTGATTGTTAGTTGTTTCCTAATGTATCATTGTATTGTGACGTACTCTGTGTTTAGTTTGTGGGTGGATACGTACACCCTACTAGTCTAGAAGTGGTTCGCCCTTGATTGTCAAACTGGACACGTATCCAAATCAGGTAACTGAAAAGCTAGTCTACTACACGGCATTAGACGTAGTTGAAGAATCCGACATACGGTATGTAGCACCGAGTAGATGGACCACAGATTCAAGGTATTCAAAGTCTCGTTACAAGTTCAATGTATTGGAGGGGATGTAAGTCTTGTAGACAAGTACACAGAACTATAGACTAAATCACATTAAGGATTTTGGTTAAAACTTTACCGATGCCAAGGCATTTGGGCTCACTGTAAGCACATGTGTTCACAATCCACACACACAGACCCGGATGCGGAGCGGTGCCGAGGCCAGGGGCTGGTGTGCCACGAGTCGGCCGTGTGTGTGCGGGACCAGGTCTACCCGGCCGGGCTGGAGCAGTCCTACTACTGCCGCTGTCTGCCGGACTGGGACGGCGACGGCATCAACAACTGTGTAGGTATGTTACAACAACTTACAACAACTGTGTAGGTATGTTACAACAACTTTGTATGTAAGTTACAACGTACACGTCCTACTACTGCCGCTGTCTGCCGGGCTGGGACGGCGACTGTGTAGTACGGTGCAACAACTTACAATAACTGCGTTGGTGCGGTACAACAGCTTACAACAATTGTGTAGCTAGGTACGTTACAACAACTTACAACAACTTACGCAACGACTGTGTAGGTACGGTATAACAACTTACAACGACTGTGTAGGTACGGTATAACAACTTACAACAACTGTGTAGGTACGGTATAACAACTTACAACAACTGTGTAGGTACGGTACGACAACTTACAACAACTGTGTAGGTACGGTACAACAGCTTATAGGCATGTTACAGCAACTATGTTGCTACGTTACAGCAACTCACAACAACTGTAGGTATGTTACAACGACAGCGTAGGTACGGTAAAACAACTTACAAGAACTGTGTAGGTACGGTACAACAACTTACAACAACTGTGTAGGTAAGTTACAACAACTTACAACAACTAATAACTGTGTGGGTACCTTACAACATCTGTTTTTTGTTTATTTCTTTCTATTCATCTGTTTATTTTCATCTTTAGCACCTCCGATATTCCTGAAAGTTGCTCACCCAAGCAGATGTAACGAGACGGGGGCCCAGTCGTGTTTCATGACCAAACTGCCCGGCCAGGAGGTGCAGTTCCAAGTCAAATCGCCAGGGGCCCCAAACGTCACCGTTCAATGGTTCAAGTATTTCGTGGGAGAGCCTCCAAATTTCAATAGGTTTGTATCAGTTTATCTACTACTAAAATATATAAGAAACTTTGTTGTACATTCAGTAGCCGAGCTTTCAAAGTAGATACTTTTTAAATGTAAACAAAATCTGTATCTGTATCAGTATAGCCGGTATAACAGCCCCTCAGCGTAACACACCAGCTTCGCAGGCACGCGGCGCAGCGGCAGCTAGACTATATTACACTGAACGACCTGTTACACACGATCTTTGCACATTTAATTGCAGGAGCTAGCTATAAAAAGACAAAAATTAAGTGACCTGTATCCTCCGTTTTTCCCATTTTAGTTATAGAAAGCTGCTGAAACCTCCAGAAAAAGAAGAACCAGAAGACCGCCCCATCCCAGAAGGCGGAACTCTCACCATTCCTCACATAGAAGAGGACGACTTTTATCAGAATCTGTACTGGGCAGAGATACTGACGGATGGGGACAGTACCGTGGGAACGAGAGCCGTGGTAGCCTTTGATCTCGCCGAAGAAGAGCGACTGAATCCCTCTCCTTCCCGGGTTTACTTTGGACTCGAGACAAAGCCAATAGGTAAGGGCTCAATCAAAATAATTTCATCATAGACTTACTTTTATTAGTATTTGATTCTTTAGTTTATTAGTTTATTCAGTTCATACGTATTTTGGTTTAGCCATCGAATTTTAGAATCCTACTCAGCAAATTCAGAAAATAATCTTTTCATCGAATAAAAAAACAACAACAAAGGGTTCACAAGGAGATAAGCCTGTGTATAAATTGAATTTTTGCTAGAAAAACAAGTACTACGAGAAAAACCACTGTACAAAAATTTGACAGTCGAGTTCTATAGAACGCCATTCTTTGAACCATGGAACGCCTTTCTCTTGGATGCGAGAGATTGTTCTACAACATGTTTTTCCGCTTACGTTCGCAAATCTTTGTTTTCTACATTCGTCTTTATTTCCCACTGCAGTTGTTGGTGCCTTTTTGGCCGGAGACTCCATGGTGATAAAACTACAGGACTACATCAGTAAGCCTCACCTGCTGCATCAGGTGCGGTGGAGGAAAGAAGGGGAGCTGAGAACATTCACCAGACGAGACGAACAACTGCTAGGTATTCCATACACTAGCTTTGTGGCACCAGAATTGTTTTGTTTGTGGCAACTGAATTGTTCTAATTGTGGCGACTGAATTGTTGGGATTGTGGCAACAGAATTGTTTTGTTTGTGGTAACATAATTGTTTAGTTTGTAGCAACTGAATTGTTTCGATTGTGGCAACTGGATTGTTTCGTTTGTAGCAACTTAATTGTCTTGTTTGTGGCAACTGAATTGTTTCGATTGTGGCAACCGAGAGCGAATTGCTTCTTTTGTAGCAACTTAATTGTTTATTGCTTGGTTTTTGGCAACTGAATTGTTTAGTCCATGGCAACTTAATTGCTTCATTTGTAGCAACTGAATTGTCTGTGGCAAATAAAATACTTCACTTATGGAAACTACTGACTAGACATTGTTTTCTTTTTTAAGAAACTAAAGGTCCCACCTTCTCCCTGAGCCACCTGAATGAGAGAGATTTCGGCGTGTACCGAGCGGAGATGTTCGGGAGGAAGGACGGGGTGCCGGGCATGGAGCTGGTAGCGACTAGACGCTTTAACGTGACGAGGGGTAAGTTTGATGTGAGAAGGCAAGCAAAAACATTAGGGTGAGCTTACAGTAAAAATATGATCTTAACCTTCGCAAAGAAGCGTCGGGAAGGTTAGACATCCAGGTTATAAAATACGCCAACAAAGCAGCATCCACTACTTGATTTTATTATTGACACGTCAAAGTCTTCCTTGGGGTCATCGTATGAGTAAAATCCCTCAAAGTCTCTCTTCCTCTCTCTCTCTCTCTCTCTCTCTCACACACACACACGCCGTAGTAATGGTAACGCCGTAGTCATGGTAACGTCATAGTCATGGTAACACCGTAGTCATGGTAACGTAGTCATAGCCATAACAAATTGTGTGACATGCCCTGATCTTTTTCTGTTTCCCTGACAGACGTCAGTAAAACCTGTGACGGCCCCCGGAGTGAGGGTCACTGCAAGTGCAACTCGGGTTTCCTTGGTAACGGCGAGCACTGCGCGGACATTGACGAGTGCTCGGCGGAGATTGCCGAGTGCCTGCCCGAAGCGTCGTGCCGAAACACGGAGGGTTCATACAGGTGCGAGTGTCCCACAGGCTATAGGGGCGACGGGCGGACAAGCTGCGAAGGTGGCTGTTTTTCTTTTGTGACAACTATAATATTGCTTCCTTCGTGACAAATGAATTGCCTGGTTTGTTGTGGCAACGGAATCGAAGCAATTCTTTCTCTCTGATCTGCTGCCATAAACGAAAGTTCCGCAACCAGCGAGAGATTGAATGTGTAAACTCAAACTAGGGCAGTTTCTTTGAAAAGTGGGTACGAAATATTTCAATGGGAAGGACGTCATGATAAAATATTCATTGTAAAATTTTGCACTTTATTCCAACACAAAGATCACATTTTCAACGTCAACTGTCGCCTTCATCAGAATAATGAATGACTAATCAGTTCCAAACGTAAACTCTCTGTGAAACCCTGTGTCGGAATACGGTTTAACATTTTACTATTGTCGTTTACCTCCCAGATGTTGATGAGTGCGCGGATGAAGATGACGTCACCCGTTGCCATGCCGACGCGGAATGCGTCAACACGCTGGGGTCGTTCCTGTGCGAGTGCAAACCCGGGTACATGGGCAACGGCAGGGACTGTCTGGGTGAGACATACATGTAGCCACTAGACTCATTACTGAACAACACTGTGTTTCTGTATGTAAATCTTTATTGTCTAGCCAGTCGCCCTTTGCCATAATACGGAGGCTTTGCAGGCACTTTGCGGCAGAAAAAAAGAAAGGAAAGGAAGAACACGCTGGGGTCGTTCCTGTGTGAGTGCAAAGCCGGGTACATGGGGAACGACAGGGACTGTCTGGGTGAGACCCTAGGCATAGACTCATCATTAAGCAGAGTTCTGTATTGTTTAGCCGGTACAATCGCCGCCTGGCATATCATGGAAGCTTTGCAGACACATTGCAGCAATAAAAATGAAAGGAATCAAAGGGGAAGAAACAGCCAGATGTGGCATCGGTTTGGTAATGTGATTGTAGCAAAACGCTGCCCCCCGACTTCAGAGCTAGCCTTTGGAAACGTGACTTTACCAATGGATGGCATTTCAGCACCTTGCACCTTTCAGCATCGGAGCCCAAGGAAGGCTGACTTTTTTTCAATGAAGATGTAGTTTTATGGCCTTTGAAGATATGCTCTATACAATGCATTGCTTTGTTTTGGACCATAAGTACGTGGTTGTATTGTGCAGAGAGACATGTTTTCCAAGTAGTTATATTTCAGGGCTGTATTTTTAATGATTTCCCCAGCCATCAGCACATGGACGCCGTGGTCTCCCTGGTCCCAGTGTACAGAAACGTGCGGCCATCCCCCCAACACACGGGTCCGAGTCTGCACACATCCAGAGAGCGGCATGAGGTGTGAGGGGGCATCACTGGAGCAGGGGGTCTGTAGGGGGCTGCCTCCGTGTCCAGGTGGGTTTTAGACAGAGGGTCTGTATGGGGGGCAACGTTTAACGGTAAAGTTGCTGCCCATTCTCTACTTGTTCTTGCAAAAAGTTCCATTATATTCATGTAGGGTGCCTGGTTGATTTTTGCTGTTGTATCCAGAACCGTGCTTTATCCAGAACCTTGCTCAGGCACGGAACCAGAACCGTGGGCAAAGCTATGTCCTTGGATACGCGAAGACTATCCAGAACCTTGCCTGATCCTAACCCCGAATACGATACTGTTCTAAGAGGGCATCGTGTAAACTTATTGGTTTCTTCCCTCCTCCTGCACTTTTGAAAGTATTTATCTCTACTTCAATGTTATAGTTTTGTATGTACAAATAAATAAAACAAACGTGGTTGTTTCAGTTGATGGCGGATGGACGGTGTGGTCGCCCTGGGCGCCCTGTACGGCGTCGTGCGGGGGTACCAGGCAGCGGGCCCGCACGTGTGACGCCCCCGCTCCGGCGCACGGAGGCCGCTACTGCCCGGGGGACATGTACGAGAGCCAGCCTTGCGAGCCCAGCCCGGGATGTGCAGGTAAACGGTTACTCTCCAAGCAGAGGTTGGACAACTTGGGTGGGGGGCGACAAAAAAGAACGAGGCATATATAAAACGGTGACGATCTTTCCCCACCAACCTCTGCTTGGAGAGTAGTAAACGGTCACAATCTGTGCTTAAACCCCTCAACTGTTTAGAGAGTATTATAGATATGTGGCACAAATTCAGATGTATCTGAAAAATCCTCTGACAAAAATGTTGCACAATGAATTAATGTACCTAGCGCTCGCCAACAATTACTGTTCTAAATGGTATGTTATGTTACATAAACCTTAATATGTTACATGACTGTGACGTAATTAGACGTCAGCCATATTGATGCCTTAAACCAAAGGCGTGCAAAGCCATGGAGTTGTTCTGAAGAGTTGATACTTTTTCAGCATGCTAATGTATTTCTGCACCTATTTTATGGATTTGCAGTCGTTTTAATCCATTTTACAATTAATTAGTGTTAATGATCCTTATTTTACTAATTAATATTACCAAGGATAATGTCCTTGATTTTACTAATTTACTGATTAACGACAGTTGATGGCGGCTGGACCCAGTGGGGTGCTTGGTCTGCCTGTTCGGTGACGTGTTCGGTGGGGAGGAGAGTCCGGACCCGGTCCTGCTCCAACCCCAGACCCCGGTACGCCGGGAGGTACTGTACAGGCCCAAACACTGAGCAGGAGAGATGCGGAGAACACAATCCGGAGTGTTACGGTAAGGAGTCTCTCAATATCTTAGACATTCATCTTCTTGAACACATGCAAAGAAAGTAGTGTGCATTTGTGTGTCAAGACATGCACACACACACACACACACACACACACACACACACACACACACACACACACACACGCACACGTGTATGAATGTGCATGTGTGTGTGTGTATGTGCATGTGTGTCCGGTAAGGAGTCACTTATGTGTGTCCTTTTCATGTCATATGTCTGTGTGTAACTTTGTGAGAGTGTGTGTACATGTGAGTGTATGCATATGTATTTTATGTATGTGGGTGGCGTTCAGCACCAAGGACAGGGCTGCTTGCTGTGCGAGTGTGTGTGCGCTTGTGCATGCATATGTGGGACTGTGTGTGTATGTTTGTGTGTGCATGTGTGTGTACATGTGTGTGTGCATGTGTGTGTGCACTGTGCATGTGTGTGTGTATGTGTGTGTGTGTGCGTGTACCAAATTTGGTGCTTTTAGACAAAAGTGCACAATTTTAAACTATACAATATGAAGAAGAATTTTCTTCTTGTAGCTGTAGATGCTGTGTGGGGAGAGTGGAGTGAGTGGAGTGAGTGTAGCCACACCTGCGGCCTGGGCACCAGGTTTCGCAGGAGACTCTGCAGACGACATCTCGGCCCCACCTGTTCTGGGGAGAACACCGAGCAGCAGCCCTGTATGGTGGAGGCATGCCCAGGTAGGCTAATTGGGGATACACAATTCGAAATAAGAAATCAGAGGTTTTAAACTTTCTGGAAGTATTTTGGTGTTGTTGTTTTTTACCTACAAGTTCACAGATCTCTGGAAACTGTTCTGTATTTTCATGGTGTATTCATCATGAACATATTGGAAGTAGAAGTGTCTTAAAATTGTAACAAGAAAATGTTCTGACTCTCACAAAAAAGAGAGACTGGCCAACAACAGTTTCAAAGGAATCTTCCATCTATTAAACTTCAAAGTTGGTAATTTGGGCATCTGAATATCATGGAAACTTATTTATGATTAAACCAAGATTGTCAAGAATGCAATTTTAAGTCTCAATCAGATTGTCTAAGACCTCAAGTTTTTGTTCTCCTTTCTGCAGCTGAAGTTGAAAAGTTTGGACAACATATGGGCCGTCAACACAGATGGAGGGAACAGACACAAGCAAGGAGACATCCCTAATTTTAGATAATAATAATTTTTTAGCATAATATTTATTTTATGTATGACAACTGTGCGCACATTTTATCTCACCCTTTTCCCGGAAAAGGAAATGATTTTGGAAATGAACAGTTTTATGCAACATTTTCCAGACAATCAAGCAGTCACTGTAACATGTTGTAATGAAATTATTATCTTTGTAGTTCCCATAAAGCTGTGAAGAACTGATTACATATATATATAAAAAACAGGCCCCAAATTAACTCTTTAATGATCTACATTTGGTAAATTTGTATGACATGGAATAAATGTGCTTTGTTTAATATTTATATTGCATCTTTTATTTTATTTACAATATTCATACAGTGTTATAGTATGTTTCCAAATTATTCCTTTTGACTTTAAGGTTATGTTGGTTGATAATTTTGTAAGTACACAAGTCTGGACAGTTGGAAGGGCTCTCTGCACAATGGACACTCCGGCTGAAAAATAACAAAACGATGTCAGTTTAAAGGTTTTTATGACATAACTATTGGACTAAACAGTTACTTCTATCTATATGAGGTCATGATTTAATAATAAAAAAACAGACACACAAACTACCAAAGTACCATGATTTTATGAAGTTATTCCTTAAAAAACAAAGCAAAAAAACTGGGAATCATTTTACTTCTTGAAAGGTGCCCCAAAACTCAGGTTACTTGCTATCTTGTTCCATGGTGTACAGATCTAGAAAGTCAGTTACCTTTTCGCTACCCCATTCCATGATGCACTCCCAGCAGAAGAGATGTCCACAGGGTGTGGCGGTGGGGTGCATTCTGGTCTCCAGGCACAGAGAACATCGCGACTTGGGGTGGACTTCAGACGTAGAGCTCTCAGCACTAGCACTGCAAAATAACATGTTCAAGATATTAACAATAGAATACACAAGAATAGCCTTAAACTGGAGACATGGGGGTAAAAGGATAAGAGGTAGACCCAAAACTATATACATGTATATATAAGTACATAAGAAGAACTGCGTCAGATGACCTGGTGTTACTTATGTATCAGAACTGAACTTTATATTAGAATTGAACTTTATATTTGTGTTTTAGAACTGAAACTTGTGTTTAGAACTAGACTTAAATTTGTGCTAGAACTCAACTTTATTTAAGCTTAGAACTGAACTTTGTGTTGTTTAAACGTTTAGCTTAAGAAGCGGATTTATATAGGCTATATAGCCTCTTTATCCGACCATTATTATGTATTATGTATTATGTATGTATTCCAGATCGAGTACAAATTTCATGAGGCTTCCACGTGTAAATTCTGCCAAGGACACAATCTCAGAGACTCTGTGTCAGACAAATTGGCTAGTCACATTTCCTTCACATGTGTGCAAATTAAAGTTAAGTAACAGACCCTAGAGCACGTTTATATGCAGGTGTGTGCCAGATATCTTGAAGGTCACATCTTGAAGGTCACTTGCCTCACATGGTTCTTTCCAACCTACTCACAAAAAAGTAGGACATTTTTCTCTAAATATGGACAATGCAGGGCAATCTAATTCTTGTTGTGCAGTCGCCCACAACCTACTTTATATGAACTAGGAAAAAGGAAAGACCTCATTGTACATGTGGGCATGGCATGTGCCATGCACATGTATATCCACCCAGAAATTGGTCTGGTACTTGGAATAAATTGAGTTGTTAGCCAAGTCAGGCTCCACTAGTGCTGATCATTCAGATCCGACATTTTTGTATGCTCTACCAGAAGGGCATGCTATAATTGTATTTCTTCTTTCTTATACAGGTTGAAGAAATATCTCCTTAACTGCTACACTATAGACCGACAAAGGGACATCTTATATCAATTTCTTCGGCTAAAGAAAAGGACCGCCCGAAAACCATTTTTTTCTGTTTGACGCTTCTCAATGGTGCTAACGCATCTAGGAGCAACCTCAGCAAGTCTGGGCAAACCCTGGGGGTGATCTACCTAGCAAAAACCTTCAACGTCACCCAACGCAAGTTTGGAACATCTAACATCTACAACTAAACATTTTCTTCTGTTTGACGCTTTTCAATGGTGCTAACCCATCTAGGAGCAGTCAAGGCAAGTCTGGGCAAACCCTGGGGGTGATCTACCTAGCAAAAACCTTCAACGTCAATCAACGCAAGTTTGGAGCATCCAACATCTACAACTAAACATCCATATTCAGGTGCAGAGTCTTTCCTTACTCCTTGGTCTCCACTCATCGGGCTAAATCAGCCTTTGCCACGGGGAAACGTCATCTAGGTAAAAGCTGCTGCTTTATCTTCTGACAAATTCAAAGTGTTGACTTGAAGTTAAGCATCCTGCTTTTTTGGTAGTTGGTAGTTGTAGCACAGTGAAATTTTGCTACGGTCCGCTTTTGTAGCCAAGCACACTCTTCAGTCATTAACACAACTCTTTAGTAAATGAAATATAGTCTTGGACATAAGGCAGCCAATAATAAGGTGTCCTAGTTTAACAATCTACCAACCAACTGAGCTCTGAAGAAAGTAAAAAACTTTTCAGGGGTTAAGAGAGTTTGTGAAATTTGCCATCAAAAGAACACAACTGTTTTGACCATGAATTATTCAAAAATTCTGTTCCAATTCAGTATTCTGATAATTTTTACATCCTGGTCCACGATACCCAATCCCCTCACAAATCCAACTTGCTTTCCAACCTGCAGAAGTGAAGTGTTTTTCAATTGTGTCCCAAAAGACAAAGGTAGCGACAGACGATTTGCCCCTGCGTTATACGCTTCGCTTCGCAATCGGGGCAAGATAATGTGTATTTCATGTGACAAGCGTCACAAACATTCTGCTGAAAGTGAAAATTGGCCAACAGCAAACTGTTTTCCGGGGGTAGAAAGGGTCGGAATAAAGGGATACAAATATGGGAAATTATCAGGGCCAAAAATATCTGTCCTCAACCCCTCTACACTCAGGCATCTTTATATCACAGATGCAGGGATAACCGAATTAGACAACAAAACATTCGAAGCCTTTCTCAACCTGCAAAATCTGAATCTAGATAATAACTTGTTAACACACATTCCTAGACACTGGTATGCTGTTGTACACTCCCACCCGCACCAGCTGCGCCAAGTATCTATTTCAAACAACTTCATTTCAAGTTTAGATCCAGGGTGTTTCGAAAAAATGACTGACCTTTATGCGTTAGACCTAGGGCATAACTTGTTGCGAGAAGTGCATAGCTACTGGCTGTTAGGAATGAAGAAGCTACTAACACTAGTTCTTAGTGATAACAAAATCCAAACAGTCCTTCCACATACGTTCGATTCGCTGAAACGACTGCAGTTTTTGGACCTGAGCAACAACGAATTGCTGTGCCTGCAAAAGGAAACATTTCTCACCCCGAAAACTCTTTTTAGAGTCCTTCTCGGTGGGAATAAGATTCTTGCCTCCAAGTCAGACACTGTGCGCAGCATGGCCTGGCATGTTGTTTTAGAAAGTTGCGGACTATTAGATGTCCATGCAGAGCAAGATCATCATCAGTGGATACGACTTGAGGCCAACAGCATGGTTTTACACATCATTTATGAGCCGTCCACTGACTTATTTTCTATTGATTGGTTCAGTACGTTGGCCTACAAGACTAAGGTTCCCATCAACCTGGACTCGTGTAACCCGCTACAAAAAATGTATAGTTTGGGTCACTTTACGGCCTACCCTCCATTTGTAGTCGTAGTGCAGAACAGCGAAACTAGTGCGGATAAGTCGCTTCTGACTCAATGTTCTGAGTCATGGGAAGAGTCTGGAAGTATTAGTTTTACTTTAAAGGGTGCATCTAACCTACGAGTGTTTGGGATGAATACTAGCTATAGCAGTGACGTACTAGTGGGGTCCGCAAAAGAGGAGGCTTTTAGCATTGTGGCAACTATGATGAAAAATCAAACAATTGACTCTCAAAATGCAGGCAAGGCCGAGGACCGTGATAGAAACCTTGACACGTCAAGAGTGGCCTGTTTCTCCATTATTCATGATCAAATGCAAAAACTTTTCTTTAACACATCGATGCCAAAGCAAGTAGAGGAAACAAACTGTTTTATGAAGGATGATGTGAGCAATGCAGAAACAACTGCAATCATTGATAAAGGCTATTTTACTAGCGCTGACAACATAGACAGCAAAATGGAAAGATCCAAAAACATATCTTTCTCTACGACAGAGGCAACACTGATACAGAATACAGTTGGGACAACGTCTTTTACTCTCATTTATCTAAATGCAACTGCTGAAGAACCAGGTCAAGTTAGAAATCTAACGACACCACTGATAGTGGGTTCGGTGCTGGCAGGCCAAGTTATTGTCATATGTTGCCTGGCTCTCTTTTGCCTTTGTGAGAGAAGTCGGAATGACGGAAATCAAGAAAACAAGAGGGGTAACAATGCCGCATTGCCCCAGACAGGAAAAACACAAGATGCACGTCGAACACAAAGAGACAGATCTAGAAACAGGTGCCATGATTCGTCAAGGCAAGCCTCTGATCCTTTAAGTGCTTACGATCAAATAAATGAGGACGAAGTTTACGTTCCATCTGGGCACCACTACCATGAAATCAAGGATGAGGATGCCTGCGGTGAACAAGTTTTGAACAGCAGTCGAACGAATGTAAGAGACAACGCCTACAATGAAATAAATGAGGATGACGTGTATGTTCCGTCAGGGCACCACTACCATGAAATAAAAGACGAAGACATCATTGAGAAACAAATGTCGGACCCATCACAGTGTGCACATCAATATGAAGAAATAAAGGACGAAGACACTGCTAATAAGGCAAGCAGGCAGGACTTACAAAACAAAAACGGTGATAACAAAAGCAAGTACTCCTCAAAATTTTATACTACAAGAGCTGAAGTACATTTGGCCCCTAGTAGAGATGTTAGAACAAATAGTTTACTATATAAGAGAGGTAAAGTGACAAGAGACTGGAAGCAGAAAGTTGCTAAACTTTATACTATTGAGGAAGAGAAGACAGAAGACTCAGAAAAGTGTGACAGCGGTGGCAAAGATTTAGCCACAGGGGATCAAAAAGAGGTAAAACCAAAAGAAGATAGCTGAAAATTTCAAAGAGAGGCTTTCTTTCAAAATTGCCTTAGCCTTAAGCCATTTTCTATAGGACATGGGAAAAAAAAGGAAAATTTGTATACAGTGTATAAAAAAATAATTTAAGTTCTAGACAATAGTCTTTATGCCATTGAATTCTGTGTAACTATGTTTAAGGGTGGTCAATAAATGTTACTGGCCAGGTGTATAATCTGGAATCAGGCTTTGTCTTTTGATGATGCTTATCTCAGGTTTATATTCGAATGTAAACATTAACAAACTAATCAGCAGAGCTATGTTTACCTGTGTTCTGAGGTTGTCTCCCAGGGCTGTCCCCATTGATGCTTCTGTGTACATGTTGCAGAAGGCTCCACCCCAGCTGTGTGACTAACTAACTAACTAACTAACAAACATGTACCTGTGTTCTGAGGTTGTCTCCCTGTCCTGTCCATGCCCAGACTTGCCCCCAGCAATAGTCCTGTGTGCATGTTGGAGTAAACTGAACCCCAGCTGTGCAGCTGACAGCCACCCCAGCAGTCTGTAGCTGGGTGCTGCAAAGTCATTGGCAAGGATGCTTCGCACCAGTAGCTGGAAAACATGAGCAATATCATAAAGCAAGTTTTTACAGTAATTTTCTACACATGAAATGTTTGGAAATTGTGCCATCGCTGTCTTATGCTTAGGTTAGATTCCAAACCGGGGCCTGGATAGTTCTCTCACCTAGAGCTTTTGACCAGTCACTCTGGTCTTCCTCAGTAGACTGACCCAGTGGAGCTTGTCACATGTCTTCTTTTATTGGGTCAGTCTACTAGGGAAGGCCAGAGTGACTGGTTGAAAGCTCTATGTGGGAGAACTTCTTTGTGTTATCAAAAGTTATAACTTTCAATATGTAACTACCTAGCCTAGGAACAGCAACCATACAAATCAGATGGCATTCACTCACTCACACTCACTATCCACTCAGGCTAGTATAATTGTAACTACCAAGTTGAACTTTCATGATAGATTGACCCTCACATATCTGATGCCGGTGGTCCTCTTAGCGATGTGGTAGAACACGCCGTGCAGGTAGAACAAGGCCAGGTGAGTCCTGTGTACAAACATGATGGTCCTCTTCACCAGAGGGATGACCTTCAGGAGGAACTCTGTCTGCTGCGGGGTCAGGCCCCAGGACTGGGGGTCAGAGGTCAGCTGCAGCTCCAGCTTTGTGAGGAGTTTGGTCAGGAGGTAAGGAGTACTGATGTGGAGAAGGACCAACAACGATCTTCTCTGTGAGGTGGAAAAACAACTCAGATTAAAACCTGAGAGACATTGGTGAAAATACATTTATTTACGAAGTAAGAATACTTTAAATGATAATTTTTGAATTGAGATTTACAACATTTGTGGCTAAATTGACATAACAGGTGACTATCACCTTTTTGAGATGTCAAACATGAGACCAGACTGTCACACCGGGAGGGATGGCTACTCTTTTCAAAAAGTGTGGTTTAGGGTTCTTGAATGTGCTTGGGCACACAACCAGCACTTTTACTTTGATTAAGAATGGGTTTTAACTCAAGTACAAAAGACATGGCTCTTACCCAGGCAGAGGGGATGGCTCTCTGTGTAGGATCCACCTGTATGATGTTACAGTACTCCTCACCTAAGGTCTGGTACCCTGGACAGAGGAATAAGTGTATGACATGTCAAGCTTGTAAGTACCATTCATGTATTATATGCATATACATGTATCATGTCACACCTAGGCACCTATGCCTTACATGTGTATAACTGCAAGCATTGTTTGGAACTATAAGTTAGCTCATGGTTCGAAGTGAATTTGTAGGCATGCAGTGATGCAATGTGGGTGGTAATGCGAAAGTTGAAAGTCCCTGCCTGTGTAGTATACCGAGTTATGAATAAATTACTTTTACACACAATGCATCATACTGCATGTGCATGTACACTTCAAACCTGGACCAAGCTTATTCTAACAAAGACTCAATCAAAGAGACCCCTTCTGTTGATATAAGTTCCCCTTTACTGCTAAAATGAATGTGGCAGTTTCCCCAAACCTGCAACCGTGGTGATCCCGAAGTACGCCGCGTCTGCCAGGACCTGCAGTTCTCTCCGCCATCTCATCCATGTCCGCGCTCCTGGAGCGGGAAATAATTTTTGGGAATGACTACAAATTTATACATAAACTAGATTTTTTGTTTACTTTAAAGGTAACATTTTCAAGTACAGTTATAATGTTTAGCTTCCCATAGTCTAGCTCTAGCCCAACGAACAACTACTCTGTATATTCTTCCTCATGCATAGTCATATATATGATGAGCAGCCCCTTTAATTCTGCTCTGTCCTGCTACTTGCTACATAATGTAACACAACACCATGGGGTGTCTGCTGCAGCACCAGTTACCATGGTGACAGACGTCTGGTCCTGGTCACTGACCTTATGAGTTTGGAATAGAAGATGAAAGTGAGCAAAAAATTATGTTTTCCTTCTGCGAACGTGATCATGAACATCAATATTCATGTAACATTACATATATTTCTAGCCAGGTATTCATATAACATTACATGTACTATATTCTAGCTTTATTCGGAAAATTTGGCATCTTCTGAATCTGAGGTAAGAATGACGGAAATGAGGTAAGAATGACAGTAACGTCATAGATGGAAAAAAATAACGTAACAAACCGTAAACAACAACATCAAAACATCGCGCGACGCAAAAGGGGGAGGGGGGCGCTCACCGAACCAGGTTTGAAAAGCGTCCGCAACCTCGCCACGGATCGAACCCCGGTAGTAGTCGTCTTTCTGGTTCGAGCGAATGATTTCTGCCTGTCCTGCAGCTTTCATTTTGTCTCTAATGTCACAAATTTTGCCAAAAACCGACAATTTCTGGACTAGAACTTCCTAAACTAAAGTTCAGCGTGCGAAAGGTCAAAGGTCGAGGGAGCCTGTATTTCCGGACTTGCGCAGTGGAGCCGTGATGACGCAACCGAACGTTTCAAAACAAAATTCCTGAACAGGAGCTGAGAAAAACGTGCGATCGTTTCGGGCGCCAGAAGTCGTCAAAACGCACAATTTTACTCTTTCTGTGATGAGGATGTATTCAAGATGAAGGTAAGTTAGTTAGAATACTTGTAAATTGGTCTACAAATGTATATCCTGATTCCCAAAGACTAAGTAAAGGAACGAATTCTATGTACACTAACGTAACGTACATAGTAACTCCCCTATAATAGGGG